TGCAGAGTAGGTTCTGTTAATGACAGCTCATGTAAGTAGGCTCCATGCAAACATCACCATGCCTTTGTTAAAGAGTGAAATATGAGGCAGCAGAGGTATCGGATTTGAAAATATATCTTGGAGATAAAATACACATTTGAACGTCTGCAGAGGAGTGAATTAACTGTTTGAAAGAAGCAGACACAAACTGTTGGAAAAGAAGATCATAATATAGTCTTTATGAAAACATCAAGACATTGAAAATCCAATATGTTTATTTTATAACCTTGCAGAGAGAAAAACAGACAAAAACACCGCCCAGAGCAAATTGTTTTGAACAATGATAATGCCATGTAACGAAGCCATTAATATTAAGTTATTAAGTAGTTTGGAGTGTGGTGCAAGTCACCTGAATAAGAACCAGATTACAGAGCACCAAGGTCCATTGCTGCTGTAGCTCGTCCATCTGCCCTGTGTTGGCCTGAGAATGTCATGAATCATGAATTCACATTTTTTATAATACATTTATTTATCTAAACCGGATTTAATGAAAGGAACAAGTGGAGACAAATCAAACCATAAACAAAATGAACACCCAAGGAATATGCCTTTATACTGTATATCCCATGAAGCAAAACAATACAGTTTATAATAGATAACAATTTCTGGTTGATTACTACAAACCAGAACATTTGCAGGATATTTCCACTGACTAAAATTACATGAACAGTAGATCTGGGCTTCAGTCTGTGGTGTGTACAGGGAGGAGGAGTGTTCACTTACTGCTGTTGACAGTCTGGATGCCAGTGTCATTTCCAGATTTCCTTTCAGTCCCACCAGAGCTGGCACCAAAATAAAAACCTCTGAGATGTCCCTGAACACATCCCAGTGCTGAAACACACAACATCATTTTAAATAATAAGCATCACATATTCTGTTAATTATTATTATTCTGCTGTATAATATTAACAAAAACGTTTTGCTTACTGAGCATCTGGGCAACAGTTAGACTTACCCATGTAGAAAAATATAGATTCAGTATCACTTATTTTAATGTCTCTGCTCCCAGTGTTGCTACATTTTTTCAGTGGGAGAAAGAGTTCTCCACATTCTGAGACACATTATAGAACGTGCAGCATGCATGAAGAGATGTGTTTTTCTGAAGAACAATATTAAAATATATACTGTGATTATAGACACATTTACTTCATTACTAATCCATACTTGCACTGTATCCATGACGATGCCAGCTGCCACCATGCCTAGTCCAGACACCAGAAAGGGCAGGAGGATCTGAACGCTGATGCTCCATGTGCTGTCAGGCAGTGGACCTTGGAGCAGGTGTGTTACTTCACATCTAACCCCTCGCAGCTTTTTGCCTTCAAAACGTAGTTCCAACCAAAGATGAATTGCCACCATGATGATTACTTTAGTCCTTCTCCGGTCAAAATCTTATTACAAGCTTCATCTAATGTGCTGATGAGTGAAAAATGTTCAAGCCGAGTTTAAGTTTCAAGTTTTTTACTCTTCAGTCAAAGTGACACTGGCTGACTTTTTCTTAGTGTAAGCACACATATATAAGTCCTTGACAACAGCTTAACATACCTTTCCTGGAGCTCTGCTGCTGACAGATCTACACATGTACATATACACATACACACACACACAAACACTCATGTCACTCATAGTCTCATCATGCCTCGCTCTTGAGCAGCCTGAGAGCTGACACTGAGCGCTGGAAGCTGGGTCTGTCTCGGGGCTTAAGCCAGTCCCAAGTCCGATGGGACAGTGATGTCCAAAATGCCAGTAGTTTCTCTGCTCTTCGGTGCTGGCTCCTGTCCTCTGTGTCCTCCTTGTCTCTGTACAGCTCTGGGTCCTGGTCCTCACTGCTCTGATGCATGCTGTTGCTGTTGATGGCTGCACTGTGTATCCTCTTCTTCATTGTGATGATGTCCAGATCAGTAAACAAAGATGAAGAGTCTACACTGTTCTTCAGCTCTAGGGTGACACTGAGGACTTCCCTGCGACTCCAGGCTGAGTGTGGATAGTGACGGTGCAGTGATGTCTGAGCATAAACAGGTGATGTCTACAGGGGACTGCAGACCCCTGTTCTCTGTAGCTCCTCCTCTCTGCACTCTCCCCTCAGCCCTCACTCTACACTACATCAGTGTGACGCACTAAGAGCAGCAGGTGATGCACCTGTCACACACACACTGTGCTCTAAATCCATTTACGTGTACCGCACATTTCATCATTGGTGACATTTTGTAGAATAAAACATATTATACATATATATTGTATTCACAAACTTAAAAAGCCCATTTAATGTTAGTGATTATAAAGGTATGAAGCAAAGACAAATGACAACTCTGCCTCCAGCTCCTTTTCACAAACAGTGACTCAGCTGAAACATGTCCTTGAGACATGTTTTGGACCAGGCACTGTTCTCCGCAGCCCCCCCTTGTGACGCTTTATGTAATCTACTGCAACACAACAGCTTTCAACAGTAAGGTGGTATTGTCACCTAAAGAGTATCTATTGTCAATTATTTAATGACAACACTTTTCTAGTAAAAGTTAACACTGTACTAGAATACATCATTTAAATAAGATATTATGTTTTGTATAACTGTATACTGTATATAATATTAAACATTGAAAAACATGATCTAATGAGTTTTTTCTGTCCTGATTCAGTTTTTCCATTGGTCCTTTTGTTGTCTGCCTTTTCATGAGCACAAGCAGGTCATGATGACCCTTTCTCTGCTGCACAGCGTACATTATTCAGAACTCTCTAAGTCAGAGCTAAATTGATATTATAAGCTGTACTGTATCTGTTATTAATGCCTTCAGGTAATACTAATGAGTTCTTACTTTAAAGAGGTCAACATACATACATTTTTTGACAATTAAGGTTCTCTTAAATTTTACTATGGCTTGATTCACTGACCTGTACTTGGTCCAGCAGTATCCCAGCAGTCGCCATTCCTAGTCCAGCCAGGAGACATGAAGGCATCACCTGCAGGAAGATCTGAGTGGATGGTTCTGTGTGAGGGCCATGGAGCTTGTGTTCCTCCTCCATCAGGTCAGTACTTACACTGTCCACTACTGCTGCAGTGTACTCTATTGTCTCACTGTGGCCTTCGGTCTGTCAGTCTGACATGTCACTGCGGGCTTGACCTCCTGCTTCAAATAAAAGATAATTCACTGGGCAATTTCATTCAACACTCAGAGACAAAATAAATATATCTGATAAAGAAACAACAATAATTGTATTTTCATGGATTTGTTAAATATGTAAATTATTCCAAAAAAGATCACCATTACATAACATTATAATATTTGTTCCTGTATATGTGTGCTAATGATTAAACATCAAATCATGAAATCAACTCTTGTGAGCTGTAGACCATATTTGAATGCTCATTAACACATGTTTAAGTAATTCTATAGTATTATTTTATTTTAGTATTATTTATTTTAATTGTTTGACCCCCTGTGACCCCAGCCCCTTGGGACAACAGACAGAAATTAGCCTTAAGCTACAATCCAGTGTGTTTACGTTCATGCTGTGTCATGTTTGTCCATTAACATGCTCTGTCCCAATAAATAAATAAATAAATAAATAAATTAGTCTGTCTAGATCTCCAAAGCTCAAAATAGTCTGTTCCACCTTGTGATGTCATGAACCAGTCATTTTCAAGTTAACAGATACCATTCACCTTCTGTTTAGTAGACACTAGCCAGTCCAGAGTTGAAATTATCCAAATGATTCTAGTGAAGGTGCATGAAGTTTAAAAACACAGTGGAGCACTTCTAGTATGACATCACAAGGTGGAATGGAGTGTTTTCTGCTTGAGAGAAAAAATCAGCTTTAATATGCAGGTATGTGTGAATGAAACAGGAGGAAAAAAAATAACAGATCAGAAAATAGCATAATACGCCTTTAAAATATATAAATTGCCCTTTCATGCCTGTGATGATGAAGAGGCTTGGGCCACAGGGGTCGCTCTGAACAGTGGGATCATCTACCTGCTATAAATATTCAGTTGACGTAGCCGTGCCCAGTCTGTCTCATGTTATATGTCAGAGGCTGAGTGCCGTGGAGAAAACAGTTGGTTCTCTGCTTTAACGTGTCTTGAGCTGTTAGCTGCCATCCTACTGAAAGGGAACAAGGTCAGTTGTCTTTTGTAAGGAAGTGTGCAACTTATCTGTGTCTTTTAAAAATAGTTTTATCTATGCATGATATACCCTTTGCAGACAGTTATTCCCTCTTGATTGTTTTAGAGTAGTGTATTGTGGATGAAACATTTGTATTAAATTTGTCCTGATGTGAAAATTATGTTAGAATTTTGTACATTTTGCAGTTACAGTGTGTTTTTTCTATAATAGATCAGTTTGCCCTAATCATTGACAAATTATCTATATAGATGACTTTTATTTCCTTTAGAGAAATTGACAGGCACATTAATAATTTGTTTTTGTTTGTTTTTTTGTAGTACGCAGTGAACATGGCGGACATGTGTCAGAAGTTGCATTATGGAAGGGCCATTGAGAAGACCATATGTCTCAGAAATATTTATGACCCTAAACCTGTTGCCAAAGCTCCCGTCAAGATACGACCTCCGCCTCCAAGATCTGCCACAACCAAACCTCAAGTGGCCAAACCTGAGCCAACAGTAGAACCGCCAGCTAAACCCATAATGAGGAAACGGGCCAAATCACTGTCATTTTTACCTGCGAATAGCACGCCACCGCATAGAAATTCACAGGTGCGCTTTGTGGACGCCCTTGGACTTGAGTTAGAAGAGGTCAAAGTGTTCAAAGTTCAAGAGCACCCTCACATCCCACATCACGTCATGTTCAGACTATTGATGAGTTCGGAGATGGCTTTTAGGAAATCACTTGAGCTGTCCTTGCCTTACTTTAAGCCATGTTTCCCAGAGGATTTCAGATCCCAACCCAACTTCATGGAACGTTTGTATAGTCAGTGTGTTTGTCTAGAAAAGGTCAACTGCTCGGATCAAGGAATTACTGGGACAATTTGTGTTCTCAACATAGCCTTTGAAAAGTATGTGTCAGTGCATTACTCCTTTACAAACTGGAGGATGCACACAAATACTACAGCATCTTGGGTATCAAGTGGAGGCAGTTGGGGTAACAATGCTCTGGGAATTGATGTTTTTCGATTTCGATTGCCTGTACCACCATTTATTTTGGAGCCTGGAGCCATTTTGGAATTTGCCATCTGCTACACTGTGAATGGAGTCAATTACTGGGACAATTACAACGGGCAGAACTACAAACTGTCTTGCCATAGCTATAAAGTAACTGTGCCGAAGGAATGTGAGGACAGCATGCTGCATTTTACTTAGCGACCATAAGAGGGAGCCTGAATATAAAATAACAAATCAAATCGAACACTGCTTTACTATAGGCTCAGTCAATCAGACTAGATACTGTGTGTGTTTGAGTGATTTGATTGTTTCATTTTTGGAAGAAAACACATAAAGAATTTCATAGCTGAGACTATAAATGTGTTTAGCCATAGGCACATATATGTACTGACAGAAATGACTGCATGTGTGACCTGGCACATATATGCACTGACAGAAATGATAGCGTGTGTGACCTGTTGCCATGCTTGAAAAGGGTCATGGGAGGTGACATTATCATCTGACACTGAGCTCTGAAACAGTCTGGACAATGGCCAAAGATGCCTCCAGCTGAGATTCTCACCCACTGCTTCTGGACCTTGACAAATGTAAAAAAATTGTCTTTGCAATTTTGCATGAAGAATTTTGTTTACATCTTCAGTTAGCCTAGTCCAAAATTGCACAATGAGGAGCAAACTAAAACACGTATCTAAACTTAACTTTCGATAGCATTTCTTGATCCTGGCCTGGATGTGTCTCCTTGCTCTGGATTACATTCATTCTTGACCTCTTTCTTAGAGGTCACCACTGAGTCAGCTGCAGCCACTGACTGGATGATACTAGTAGTTTAATTTAGACATGACATCGAAAACATAAACATAAACAAGAGCCCCTAGAACTTGTGTCCAAGGCAATCAAACAAGCAGCAATACAGGTTTTAGCCTATGTTTTTCATTTTTATTATTATTATTGTGTTTTGTTATATAGACTACATTTCTAATAGAGATGGACAGATATATAGGATGATATTTACTCTTTTGAGTATCTCAGCTATCTCCCTTAAAGCTCCAGTAGAAGCCAGTGTTTAATTTTGGCCTTAAGAATATGCATACAACTTTATTTGAAGGTAATAACCACACAAAATAGGACTACACTCCACAGCACTCAGGTTTATGGTAAAAAGATGAGTTGGTGAGTTTGTAGTAAATTGATTTACTTACTTTTCTGGATTCTAAACAATAGGTATCAGCATTGGTTATGAAAAAAAACAAAAAAAAAACAACAACAACCATATCATAATAACCATACAGAAATAAATACAAATCTGAAATCATAGAGTTCAAAAGCTAATTTTACCATTGAATTCTTTTCTCCAGCTCACTTTTAAACTACACATCCTAAAATGTTCAATGAATGCAAATCTACTGTATTAACTGTCTTTCTGTAAACAGATTCTTTCTAAATAGAAACAACCGTTTACAAACCAGTGCTGTGAAAATTTTAATATAGCTGTGAAATGTTCCGCAAAAAGGGGCATGGATCTTCAACACTAGGTGGCACCAATATTTAACTGAAGTCTTACAACATCGTCATCATTATCATCAACAAAAAGCTTAATTGTGACCAAATTCACATAAAATCAAGAGCAAAAAGATGCAGTTAAATGTTGAAGCATGGAGCTTCGATTTGGGGGATTTTATGTCCAGTTGATGTTTTTGTTACATAAACCCCTTTTTAAGTGCTCACTTGACACAATTTTAGGTTAGTGGCATTTGCTCAGGAAGTAGGGATTAAATTGAGAAAATACTAATGCATTTTATGGGTTTCTAGATCATTATGTGTTACATCATAATACACTAAATTTAAGCAATAGAAAGTACATATATTTCAGAGCCAAACTGTGCATACATACATCTTTAACAAGCTGCTCATCTGTCATATCCCATATAACAAAGAGATACGGCTGAGGTTTAGGGCATGTTAGCTCTAGCACTCATTATGTAACAATATTAGTCTGATCCGTGTTCTGTTATCCATGTAGTGAGATGTAGAAGTGTTCATAGTACTGTTTCCAATAACAGGACTGGCCCTGACATCTACTCTCTCACATTAAATGAATAAGTGGAAATTAGATTCTGAATTCCCTTTAACTTGTGCTTTGAGATTCAAACATGATTAGGTATTAAATCAATCTCCCCTGGATTATATAAATAAAAATTACATGCAAACCAACATACAGCACTTCTTTTCCTGTTTTTTTCCATCTGAAACATCTTATCAGTGCGTGCCCACCGTTTGCGTTGGCGTTGTGAGGGACACCGGAAGTGGGGATAACCCTGATGAGAGTGTCCCCTCCGTCCCACGCAGCTCCACAGGCCAGGCCTACATCACAGGTGCAGATAGTAGTGGCCCTGTAGCTCAGTCCATCTGTTTGTCCAGCACTGCCAGGTCCGAAGCGTGACCTACCTCAGGACCCAGACCTCCATCGTCAGTGATAGAAATAATAATCTGAAAATGTATTTAGCTACAGAATACTGAATACTTGCATTAAAATGTATTTTGTAACATATTCTGATATATGGTCCAATTAGAGTACTGTATTCTGAATACTTAGAATACTTTTATATATATTATAGTGTAAAGATGCAACATAGCATTAAAAACAGCTTTATGTTTGTTTCATATCACTAATTAAACAAAGAAAAATCTCCACAAGAACAGTGTTTCATATTTTTTCACTGGTTATGTGTAGTTTGAAGTCTAAACTGTGAAATAAAGTACCGCCATGTATTCTTTTGATTTTAGGAAAGTAACTGTATTAAGAATACCACCAAACCAAACAATAACTGCATTTGAATACAGTTACTCAAAATTTGTATTCAAAATAGGTATTATCAGTACAAGTATTCAGTTACTTCCCAACACTGTCCATGAACTACAATAAACTTTTCATGGAATAATTCAAAGCTGTGTGTACACTCTTAGGCTTTCATGCCCTATAACAGTTTGAGTGTGAGGTAACAGCTTAACATATTTAGTGAGAATTGTGACACCGCAACTAATAAGATCAACACAATGAATAGACTCACTCAGCCTTTGCAACTGCACACTTCATGATTCTGTCAAGTATTTGGCCTATTTCAGTAAATTCAGTTAAGTAAATCTAACTGACCTGTTTAAAGTGCCCTACACTTGACCACTGACCCCATGGAGAAATAAAAAATAACAGTGACTAATTTGTGATTATTGACAACATCTTATGAAACCACTCACAAAATCAAATAGAAAAGCACTAGGAATAAACATGACAGACACGTTTAGTTACAAATTGAAAACCTGTATTGTGCAGACAATAAATAGTGCTTACAAAGGGAGTCTGTCTGTTACAGAGGTTTCTGTTAGAACATGTACACTGTCGATATGAAACACAACTGGAGTCCTCAGTGGGGGATGTGACGACTGATACTGAAGTGGGACGTTGGTCACATGCATGTTTCCCCATTATGGCATCAAAAAATCTCTTCTAAAAGAGTCTGTTTACAAAAGAAGTCTCTATGGCAATTGCTCGACCTGGATTCTCGCTGCTCCTTGGACAAGCTGAAGTGAGGGTAAAGGAGAAGGCAAAGGTGGAGCTCTCTGGGACGACCATACTGCTCACTTTGAATCTAGAGACATAGCCTCCAAGTGTCTGGACCCAAATATCAGGAGCCCACTACCGTGGGCACTGGAAGACTCCATGCAAGGTCTTCACTAACAATACCATTCAGCAGCTCTTCACAGAAGAAACCTCACTATGGCCGATGGAACCTGAAACACAATACAACACTGTGAGAACACATGTTTTTGCTCACTTAAAGTACACTTCACTTTAAGGCAAAGCTCATTCTTAAAGAAGCTGCAGTTTGCATAACCCCTTGAATGTAAGCATGTTAAAGCTGCAGAGGAAGCAAAGTCTCAATATTCAGTACAAATAAAACGTAAACACAAGCTAAAAATAGGTGTACTGTGGACATGCATTACAGTGGTGCAAGGTAGTGCAAATACTGCATCTCAAGGGACCAGTGTGGAGCTGAATAAAGCATCTCAGTTTGAGCCCTGTGAATAATGTCCTGTACTTTGTCACAGTGTCTCACTGCCCCTCAGTCTGATGATCACCAAACAGAGGAAATGCAGAGAGTCTGATGATCACCAAACAGAGGAAATGCAGAGAGTCTGGTGATCACCAAACAGAGGAAATGCAGAGAGTCTGATGATCACCAAACAGAGGAAATGCAGAGAGTCTGATGATCACCAAACAGAGGAGGGGCAAAGAGAAGCCATGAGGATGCACTGACCTTGTTAGGTGCTTGCTCGAAGAATGGACTTCCATCTCATTACTCTTGAACTCATTCAGCTCCTTCCGAATGGCTGCCTGCAGAACAAATCAACACAAAGTGTAAGCACAGGCCAGTCCATTTAGACCAGGATCAAGTCTCTCAAGTGGACATAGGAAGTCAGAGTATGTAGTAGGCTAATGTTTGAATGTGTTTTTCTAAACCTATAGTCAAAAGTCTAAAAAGAGCTAAACCTTAATTGTCACTGTGATTTCATATTCATGGTAGTTCTTATTTCTTAATGTATTAAAATATCTCCTTTCTTTAAGTACCTTGTCAGCAGCAGACAGCCTGGTCCATGGTTTGTCTGCTCTCCTGTCATAGTCCTGAGCTTTGGCCACTTCCACATAGTCACTAAAACGGATCAGGATCTTTCTGTCACGCAGCTCGTCCACTGTGGGCCGCTGGTTCAACTGAAGAAAACAAACAGCTCCATGAGTTCAGACAAATTGATATGTAAAAGCAGGTATTAAGGCTGTGTTGTGTCTGGCAGTGCAGGCACTGTCCAAATGTTAGATTAAATTGGTGACATTTATGGCCGGGGGTGACCTACCTTTCTGTTGAGCCGCTGTTTGATTTCCCTCCTCTCCTCCTGTTCACTCTGGTCATTTCTTTCTGTTAAAACAAAGGATGGCAGAACTTAAGTAAATTATAGTCACACAACACTCAGGTGAGGAATGTAGATCTGATGTTGCCAAGCAGCTCAGTTAACAAGTTAGAATTTTCAAATAATATTGATAAATTATATAATACTGTGAAATAAAATGTCATAAATCCAGAGATAAACTTTGGCATTTTTTCTAATATTTAAAATTGATTGCCAAAAAAACCTTTCTTGTTGTGATTTATGAATAAAGTTGAAGATGTGTATACATTTGGATAATGGTAGCCTATACCTAGATTTAAATTAGAAGCACTCCTAGATAATAGTATTTTCACATGTGCTAACTCGTCTGATAGCCACAGAGGGGACAGGATTGGTGCAGTTGTTGTCTGGGGTCAGAGCCTGTCACAGTGGGTCAGAATAGAGACATACAGCTGCTGCAAGCCAGGTCCACAGGTGTGCCCCCTGTGCAGCTTTAAAAGAGGCTGCTTTCATAATGCTCTGACACAACAGCCGCTGCCTCTCACACGCCACATGCTCCAGCTCAGTCACACATGCGCGATCTATTTTTTGTTATTTTTACACAATGAAACATGCATAATGAGCACATGCTGTGTGAAAAAAGACACAGTCCTTTAAACAGAGCAGCGCACTATACAGGCCATTTCTGACCAAAAACTGCAGGCTATTTATTGTAGGCTAAACTACGGAAAATGTTCACAATTGTCACACTAAGAAGAAAGTTGATTGCTTTCGTTTCACAGAGTAATATTTTATTTAGGACAAGGTTTCCTTTTGTGTTTGCGGGTTTTTTGTTTTTTTTTTGTTGTTTTGTTTTTTTTTAACACTACACGCTATCAAACTGTGCAAAAACAACCACTTAACTGTGAGTGAATTAAAACTTACGCTTGAGGATGTTCCTGCTCTCCAGCTCCTCCACTCCCGGTCGTTGGCTCAGTCTCCTGCGGAAGAAGACCAGAATCACGTTTTGCACCATCCTGATGCTGTCCTGAGCTGGACCTCAGTCTTCAGTCTTTGTTTGCAGGCTCAACTGTCACTAGCACCGCATGAACCGGATCGTACCGCGCCAAGAGCCGCTTATCCACAGCGCATCTCGCGGCGCGTCTCCACAACAGCTACCGGTGCGCGCGCTACACCTGACACTCCACATCGGGACAAGTAGCCTAATACAAGTTAGTCCAGTAAGCAGAAGTAAGGTTTTCAAAACGGGTTATATCCTCCAAAACGTCCCACGATAAACAGGTGTGCCGTTGGCTACTCTGCTGCTGAGAACTGGGCGCTGCTGAGAAGTGAGCGCGCACTGAAGCACCGCCTGCTTTTACCCGAGGCACGGGTCTAACGGAGGGGTGGGGCTAAAGGAGATCCCCGCTCCCAGTGTGGAGCTGGCACAGGCACACCTCCACTGATGATCGATCAACTACCGTTTACAAGTGACAATGGGCTGGAGGCCAGAGGCTAATTTATGAAACTTATGTAAGAATACAGCAGCAGAACAGACGGGGTGAAACATGAGAAGGGGACAATGAACACAAAGAAAAACATGATTAAATGATCAAAATATGGTCATAATGAATCTAAACGAAATTACAGCGTGCTATGTCCGGCAAAAATACAGGTCACATTATCCACTAGTAGAAGCCACTTTAGTCACTTGCTGATTTCCACATAATTTATCTTAATGAAATAAGAAATACAAATTGTTGTTTTAAGTTCTTTGGATTAGCTGGCATTAACATTTGGCTTTAAATAGTGTTAAAAGTTCCAATGTTTGACTTTAAAATGCTACAGGCAGAACCTTGTGTGTTGAACAATTAGGCACTGACAGCAAACTGAACAAACATGGAAAAATTTAAAACATAAAAATGTTTATTTTTATAATTATAGGGCAAAATCTCAATGTCAATAATTTAGAAAAGGGTTAGACATGTGCCACCAGTGTAAAGGGCCAAGTCCTCTCAGATGTTAAAGAATCAATATACTCAATCTGTTCAGGAGAAATATGGCACCTAATCATCAGCTCTGTAGGACATCTGTCTCTAAATTGTTCACCCATCTAATGATTTTCTGCTTTATTTGTCAAAAAGTGCCCTAATTGTTTATCATGGGTCAGCATTTTGAGTACTCACATAGTTGGGATGCCACACATGACTTTCCAAGATAAAACTGAGCCCCACCCCCAGTGAACCAACTGCTTGTAAGTGCACAGTTGTCCACAGTGGCGAGGCAATATAAACATGCAGACCTGTCATGATAATTACTATATCAACTTATTGTTCATTTTATGAAAAGCTAGAATAATATTTGGGGCTCAATATTTATCTTGTGTACATTTTTTTTTTTTTTTTGTAAAAGTGGGAAAATGTAGGGTATTTTTTGTTGTAATACAATAAGATTTGAGCTGTAGAGGGTTGAATAAGTAACTCCTATGGCTAATTATCATTTCATTCTGCTTTTCATTAGTTGCAGCACAGGCCTTTTGTTTTCTATTGTATGATGTCTATTTTAAAAAGGTTTACTGGGATTATCTTGCATTTTTGTAATTGTGTCAGTGGCATAAAAATTGTTTCAATATTATCATTTATCACATTATAGCTCTTTAACAATATATCATGCTTCCAAATTTGTTATCATGACAGACCTATAAACATGTTCACAATTTGTAGACTGTAGAAAAATAAAAAGTGCATAGAAGTATTTTTATGGGTTTTTTTTTAGACAGCTGATAAAAACATGTCTTTCGTCATTATAGTTGCCTCACCTCGGTCACATGTGGTTGATCAGACACGTTTCTCTATTATTTTTTAACCCGAGTGTCCTCCTTTACTGACTATCTTACCTCACTGTGATAAAAGCTAATGCAATCACTCCTGTGTTAACTCAACCACTATCACAACCTGTTATCGACTTCCACGTTTCAGGCCAAAAACCTACAAACCTCGACGTGACCCTTCCCTTTCCTAACTCCAAATGTAAGCCTATACTTTTGTCCTGAATTTGAGGAAAATGTTTATATCATCAAGTATAAAAATACCTTGTGTATTGTCAGTGTGTTGGAAAGAAACTGAATACAAGTATTGTACAAAGAATACATATTCTGAATACTAATTTTGCGTAACTGTATTCTGGTACAGTTACTTTTTCATTTGGCAGTATTTAGAATATAATTACTTTTCTAAAATGAATGAAATACATGTCAGTACTTTGAAAACACAGCTCTTGTATTGTGTGCATGTAAGATTTTTTCTTCTCCAATTAGTGTTTTCAAGCTGTTTTCAATCCTATGTTGCGTTTTTCACTCTATAATTTCAATGCCAACCTGCTGTAAAAGTATTCTAAGTATTCAGAATACCGTACTCTGATTAGATCATGTGTCAGAATATATTACAAAATGCAAGTATTCTATGTTCTGTAACTAAATACATTTTCAAAGTATTATTCCCATCACTGTGCATTGTAAAGACTTCATAACTACTGATTGTCATTCAGAAAAGAGTTTCCAGTGATGGTGTAATGTCTAACCTAGTCTAGTTTAGTCTAGTGTCTAGTCTAGTGTCTAGTCTAGTGTAGTCTAGTCTGTTTAGTTTGGTTTACTTTAATTTGGTTTAGTTGAATTTAATTTAGTTTAGTCTAGTTTAGTTCATTGACGGCACCAGACATTGTTGGTGCTAAGGGGGTGCTAAGGTGTGCTCCCTTAACATGTTAATTTAGAGCCTTTTTACAATGGAGCGTACCACACCCTCTGCCATGTTTAAGTCACTGTTTTAAATGCATTTAAATGTAGTTAGCACATATAGTATGTCATCTTGAACTGTCTGTGGTCGCCATTTGAACATTTTTCATCAAGATTTGAAATCTATAAAAAAAGGGGGCATTCTAGGGGGTCTTGTTTAATTTAGTGAAGTCTAGTTTTGTTTTGTTTTTTTGTTTTTTTTTTACCTTTTAATGGGACCATGCTTTTTAGGAAAGATGATTTGCTTCTATATACACCAAAACACAGTGTGCATAATAACTACATCATAATACAGACACATGATTGGTCACAGTAAATGGTAAATAAATCAGTTTTTTGATTCTATTTTCTGCTTACTTAGTAGATTAGAAACACGTGCCCATCAAATGCTTCACTGTTAAACTGTGTCATGGCATAGGTGGATACACTCTCACTGGCCTCTTTAATAATCAGGACAAAAGCATAACCACAATAAAACTGGAACCAAACCTTACAGAATAAATACTGGTACAAACAGCTGTAGCCTAAAACAGAATTAAAGTAGATTTATGTGGCCCACTGCAGTCCAGGGGTATTATGTGCAGTCCGGGGGCATTATGTGCTGACCGTACATGGGAACACAAAGTATCTGAGCAGGACACCCACTCCCCCTCATTCACCAACATTACCAAGAGGACAGAGGCTTTTTGAGTCGTGGATACTAGGGCACACTAACCCCTATCTTTATTTTCTGTGCTCCATTATAGGAGATAGAGAAAAAGAGGTTGAGACTTGCGAGTTGTGACTTCGACTTGAGTCAAACTTGAGTCACTATTTTTAGGACTTGAGACTTGACTTGATAAAATGGACTAAGACTTGGGATTTGGGACTTGAAGGTCAGTGACTTGGGACTTGATTCGGACTTGAGGCCTGTCGCTTGAGAAGACTTGAGAAAGAAAATTTAATTCTACAACTCTTATATACTCTACAAATACTCAAGTACAAATATTCTATGATTTTAAAAGTCATATAAATTGCAAAAGTCTAAGCTATATTTGGTACTTTATTTTAAAGACTTGAAATGATTTGAAGCTCAAAGCAGACGACTTGGACTTGGACTTATATGCCAGTGACTCGAGACTCGACTTGGACTTGCCTGTCTTTGACTTGGGACTTGACTTGGCCTTGAGGTTAAAGACTTGAGACTTACTTGAGACTTGCAAAACAAAGACTTGGTCCCACCTCTGTAGAGAAATGCACAAGCTAAACTTAAAGGGTCTATATTACGCTATTTCCTAATCTATGTTCTAATGTTTTCTCATCAAAAACATATTTGGAGTTGTGTTCTGGTTCATTCATACATGTTTAACACACAAAAACTGCATATTGAGTTCTTTGCTTAAACGGAAAACACTCTATTCCACCTTGTGATGACATGTGGTGATACGGGAAGTCCTCAAGTTAAAGGGTCGCTGTCAACTTGAAAACGTGTACGTCATAACATCAGAGCTTTGGAAATGGAGACAGACTAATAATGCAGGATTACTCAAACATGTGTGAATGAAACGAAACACAACTCCAGGCAAGTTTTTGATGAAGTAACAACATTATGACATAGCTAAAGCTCACAAGTCGAACTTTAATATATAGCCATTGAGTAATACTATTTTTAATTGTGACAACATGTGCACCGTAAAATACAGAAATCTAGCTATAACCCAAATCAAACCAATGCAAGACCTCTATAATACGCTCTGCATCAGTATAATCCATCCATAGGCCAGGTTGGGAAACAGTGGGATTGAGCACAGTGCAAAGGCGAGACTACTTATATGTGCTAAATGGAGCAGAGAATGTAGACTATACTAAGTAGACGTCGGCAGACACCATACACAAGACTTAGTAGTTTTACTGGCAAAAATATGTGTAAAGGTAAGGTAGCAAATATCTTCTAATATAAGATTAACTAGTTTTTGTTTTTCTAGTTCTAATGTGTCTCTAGCAGTGGTGGAAATGGTACTTTAGTGTGTTACTTAAGTAAAAGTACAGATACTGGAGCAAAAACATACTCAAGTAAAAGTACAAGTACCACATGAAAAAAAAAAAAAACTACTAAAGAGACAGTATTAAAGCACATGTTTAAAAATGTAAGATTATAAAGTAAAAAAAAAGAGGTTTTATAAGGTTTCAAATATAATGATTTTGATACACATTTGTGCTTTTGTTCAGTAA